CATCTTTTTCTCTCTCTCTCTTTCTCTCTCCACCTGCCTGTCAACTTACCTACCTTCATATCCCCCTGACTTTTTCTATCTGCCTCTCTCTCTTTTCCTCTCCATCTCAAATATCCATTAATCCATTCATCCGAACCAACAGGTCGAGGTAACTTACTAATACGGAATATTGCACATGAAAGAGAGAGAGAGAGACAAACCGCGCTGAGTAATCTATACCATTGAGTCATCTCCTGAATATTGCAAGTCCCGAATAAGCGATCACAGCGCCACCAACGAGCAAGCAAGCTAGTGTCCTGTGACGGAATGAATGTAAACACCAAGAGGTCATCGATAATCAATGGTGTATGCTGGGAATTACGACTGGCAGACGGAACACCCCTCCACCCCCTTCCCTCTCCCCCCCAGCCCCCTCATTTTGGGGTGTTTTTTAACTTTGGACCAAAATTCGCGGGTCTTTGAGTTGCGTCATTGTGGTCACGTGACTCTTCGTTGGCTCTGGCGTTCGGATGATTATTTTCTTTTTCTTTTCGTCTCGGTTCATTTATGTTTGTTTTGTTATTTTGTCTTGTTTTGTGAGTGTTTTGTTTTTCTTTTGGTTGCGAGGAATATGGTTTATGTCTTTTACGGTTTATGTTATTCTATCTTCTATATTCAGTCTTCTATGTTGCGTTTTATGCCTATTCGTACCTTTTTGTTTTCGTACTCTTGCATTATTTTTTATAATCAATACTATGAAGAGGACATTCCAAATCTATCATTACTATTGCAAATGTTTTACTGTTAGAAATGCAGATAGCTAATTCTTGCATATGTGTACACATGTATACATACACACACACACACACACACACACACCACCACACACACACACACACACACACACACACACACACACACACACACACACACACACACACACCAGCACACCACATATATATATATATATATATATATATATATATATATATATATATATTATATATATATATATATATATATATAGCACACACACACACACACACACATATATATATTATATATATATATATATATATATATATATATATATTATATATATATATATATATATATATATATATATATATATATATATATATATATATATATATATATATATATATATATATATATATATATATATATATATATATATATATATAATATATATATATATATATATATATATATATATATATATATTATATATATATATATATATGCGTACACAATTTTAAATGTTGTTGCATGCGTATGCACATAATTGCAATCTGTCCAAACTAAATATTCGAACCAATGGAAAGATTACGAAAACTTATCCATTTTCAACAGAAAGGCTAGATATTATCGTGAACTTTAGCCCATAAGATAAACACTCGCTAAATACTCACTTCACTTCACCTCTATCAGAGTTATGATACTCTCCATGGCAACCTCTCTGCCACACTTGCAACTTCCCAATTGCAAAGAGAATGGCACATGGGATTGGTCATCATGCATTTATCAATGGTTGATAATAAAATAATAAAAGACAATTTAATAAATAATAAAAGATAATAAAAGATAATAAATAATAAAATGATAAATAATGAAATATTAATAGAATAATAAATAATAATAAATAAATAATAAAATAATAAAATAATAAATAATAAAATAATAATAAAATAATAAAATAATAAATTAATAAATAATAAAAGATAATAAAAGACATTTATCAATGGTTGACAACGATCAGTGACTTTTGGGTTTGGTGACTGGTTCGGGAGAAAAGGAAAAATAGGAAAAAAAGAAAGAAGGTCTGTGTACATTTCGTTAGACTTACTTGAGTTAATGTTTATGGTTATTGGTGGCTCGTTAATTGTATAATTTAATGTTCTGCGAGTTCAGTGTACTGTCATTAATATCTTTAGATTGAACGGTTGGGTTTTATCGAAGTTAATTCTATGTCTGGATGCGTTCAAGCGAATGTTTATGCCATTCGAAAAGACAGAAAATATTTGCAACAAATGACACACGAATACCAACGCAGACGCATTTTCTTCCTTCCTTGTCGACCCATCTGTCTATCTCTCTCTCTCTCTCTCTCTCTCTCTCTCTCTTTCTCTCTTTCTCCCTCTCTTTCTCTCTCTCTCTCGACCCTCCATTGCAGCCGCTCTTTTATTACCTCAAAGTTTCTCTGAAGGTTTGAGGGGAGAAGAGAGGAGAGAAGTAAAAAAAGCAGTGACCAGTAAGAAGCAATAAACTGTAATGGAACAATCGCGAATAAATGTATGCATGGAAGGGGAACGAGGAAATGTACCGTAGGCAATAACAAAGTTCCACGTGATTTTCAGAACCACGACAGTTACACCTTCTTCACAGTATTAATTATAAAAAAATGATACAAGAGTACGAAAACAAAATGGTACGAATAGGCATAAAACGCAACACAGAAGATTGAATATAGAAGATAGAATAACATAAAACGTAAAAGAGATGAACCATATTCCTCGCAACCAAAAGACAAACAAAACACTCACAAAACAAAACAAAATAAATGAAGAAAAACAAACATAAATCCCCCAAGACGAAAAGAAAAAGAAAATAATCACCCAAACGCCAGAGGAATGCGCAGTTCATGCATGTAGTCTTGTAAAACTGTTATGATCTACAATTTATAACTATTCCTCTAACAAGGTTTGGAATTCACTCTCTCGGTGACACCCAGATAATAAAAGAATTGTTCAAGTAGGGTCGCATTTACTCGATAGATATAACCTATCTACTCATTCTTGGTTGAAGGTCTAACGTGGTGTCACCTCCATTGACTCGGTTCGAATCCTTGTCAGGGAAGACAGTTACTTATAGATTCAAGTAAGAAGTCCGTCTAATTAAAATACATTTATGATAGCGAGTACTAATTCATCCTTCTCTACCAATCAGCATTCCAATCTTGAAGTATTGTTTAACAGCATGACATAATGCCGTGGAATGCACTATGCAGAGGAATTATTACTATCAAGATTTGACGTAGAAAACCACATTGACGCTGAAATTAGTACCAATAAATTTAGAAAAGACGAAAATTCATAACGCCTCAACTTTAAAAAGAAGGAGGGGGTGAAGAGAGAGAGAGAAAAAACAAACAAACAAACCAACCAACCAGAAAACGTAAACCAACAACAACAGCAACAATAACAACAACAACAACAACAACAACAGCAACAACAACAACACACACACACACAAAACAAACAAAAACTCAAATAGGCCACGCAACAACTACCTTCCCCAACAACTTCCAACCCACTCCATAACCCCAACGCCACCGTATAACCTCCTCTTGTCTTCGCAATAGCTTTATGTCTTTACAACGCAGTCTTTACGAAGTCAGCGTCAGCAATTACCTTCCAGCTATACTACACGAAGCCAATAAATATGTTGTCTGCTTCGCTATAACCGTAAGACCTCAGAACACTAATGGGTATAACAGCGAAAGAGACGACGAGACTAAGAGAAAGGATTAACGTTAAGAAAGGAAGGAATAGAAGGAGAATACGAAAAATGGGTGTTGGAGGCAATATTATAACAGCTGTGATGATGATGATGTTGGGGTTAACGTTGAGATATTAACAAGAAAGGAATAGAAGGAGAATAAGAAAAATGGGTGATGTTGGAGACAATATTATAACAGCTGTGATGATGATGCTGATGAAGGTGATGGTGATGAGGGTGTTGATGGGGATGAGGATGTGATGATGTTGACGCTGGTGATGATGACGATGTGATAATGATCTAGAAATGATAATGATAACAATACAAGTAATGATAATATTTTATGATGATAATGATAGTGATTACAGTAAAAAAAGAATAATGACAATAATAACGATGATGATACTACCACTACTACTACCCATTACTATGGTAAAATATATACTTATAATGAATGAGTGATAATTATATGATAATCTGATACAATAATGAATGAGTGAGAATTATATGAAAATAACGATATAATCATAATAATGATGTTAATGATGATAATAATGATGTTAATTATGGTCTTCTTACTGTACCCTTATTGGTGTTGTTGTTTTCCTGTGTTATTAATGATTCGAAACATCATTAACAAATTTTATAACATGAGGATTGACAGCTGTATCAGTCATCAGTATCCTAAATTACTATTATAAATATTACAGGGCTCAGCGTTCATCTATAATTTCTTTGATTGCCTGCTCTTAAATAATCTATTACTTTCTATTGTTTCCTATCATGCTTTATCACTCTCTCATTCTCTGTTTATGGCCCTTCGTCTCTCCAGTTATTGTTCTTTCTGTCTCTTCTACATATTTATTATTATTCTTTGTTCTAACTTCTGTAACTTACATGGACTTTACTTTCATATTCTCCATGACTTACGCATACTTTCCACTCTCCCCTTTCTTTTGCTTTCTTAATTTTCTTGTTTTGTCTTTCATTACCTTTTATCGTAATCTTGTTTATCTCCTTATGTTGTACGACATTTTGAAATTCTCTCTCTCTCTCTCTCCCCCCTCATCATCTCTCTCTCTATCTATCTGTCTCTCTCACCCTCCCTCCTTCCTTTCTTTCTCTCTCTCTCTCTCCCCTTATCTTCTCTCCCTCTCTCTCTCTCTCCCTCATCTTCCTCTCTCATCCCCTCTCTCTCTCTCTCCTCTCTTCTATCTTCTCTCTCTCCCTCCCCTCTTCTCTCTCTCTCTTCATAATTCTCCTCCTCCTCTCTCCCTCTTTCACCTTTCGATTTTAATAACAGGATCGTCGATCGTATGCTAATAAAGGGAAGGGTTAGATAATGCATGATCGACTCATCACAAAGTGCATAGGAAACATCGCATGATCTCTTAGATTAATTAAATCATGTCAGCATTAGTGAGTCATGATTTATTGAATGGAAGACGGCGAAAATGGATAACACTGAACGACGCATAAAATCACTATTCATGTTAACGCAGAGACAGAGAAAGTGCAGCTACATGTACCATTGGAGGCTATAATGTGTAATGGTATTTGGTACCGTGATACAGAAGGTATAAACGTACCTGTTAAGAAATGATTATACCATTATTTAACTCTACACGGGAGACTGAGAAAAAAGAGTGATGGAACGGAATTGCAAAGTTGACGTAGATAGTTGTTTGCTGGAGTGATTATCTTTTTTTTTTTTTTTTTTTTTTTTTTTTTTTAAACAACCAGCACGAAACAGTATATACAAAGAACCTCCGTAATCAGTTCCCTTTTAAACACGACGGGATTTAATGGTGTATAACATCTGTTTTTAGGGATTTTTTCAGTTAGAAATATTCGTGTATTACTTATTACTTTGTCGCATTTACCAAAACAGTTTAGAAGACAAAAATAAAACCAAAAGAACAGACAAATATATATTTTTTCTTGGCGATTATTGACTTTAAGGATTTGAGTTTTTTTTTCCCACCCAATTCGTACTCTATTTTTTTCTTATCTTATTATGAATGACGTATTATCTCTCCCAAAGACGAGCAAAAAAAAAAAAAAAAAAAAAAAAAAAAAAAAAAAAAAATCGTGTTTTGTGTTTTCTATATTTCTTATTCATTTTTTTTTCTCTTAATCCACTGACTTGCTTTATTTCATACCCTTGTATTGTCTTTGTTTCTTGATATATATGTTTCGTTTTTATGTTGTGAAGAATTATTTACTCATCTATTTTTTATAGCGCTTCTTGGATCGATGCATCACGAATGAGTTATGACGTAAACTAGAAAAAAAGAGAAAGAAACTTTTGCTAAAGGGAAAAATTACTCACATACACGACACAACTGTGGCATTCCGAGAACACATTCAGATATACAAAGGGCGAA